CCACACACCCCTGCCCCGCCCCCTCACCCAGGTCCAGCGCGTGGGCCGGGGGGCGCTGGGAGAAGGGCACCCCCCTGTAGACCTGGTCCAGGATCTTCTCCTTGACCTGGCTGATGGTGTCGGTGTCGAGGACGCGGGCGGGCACCCGCTGCTCCCCGGCGCCCCCCGGCGCCCCCCGCAGCAGCACGCTCAGCGCCAGGGGCCGGACGGGCACGTCCTCCCGCAGCAGGCGCCCGTCGCTCAGCGTCCGCTTGGCCTGGCCCGTCACCGCGTCCACCGGCCCCTTGTCCACCTGCCACTTGATGGCCCGGAACAGCCGGTACAGGGGCTCGCCCGCCACCTCCTGGGGAGACGCAGAGGGTGGGACCCAGGCGTACGGGGCCACAGCCCCCCCCCCCCCCCCCGACTCCCTAGACCCCTCTCTTCCCAGAGAACCCAGGAGTCCTGGCTTCCAGCCTCCCCTTCCCCCGCTCTAACCCCCCAGACCCCTCTCCCCTCCCAGAGAACCCAGGAGTCCTGGCTCCCAGCCCCCCCTTTCCCCCGCTCTAACCCCCCAGCCCCCTCTCCCCTCTCCGAGAACCCAGGAGTCCTGGGTTCCCAGCCCCCTTCTTCCCCCGCCCTGGCCGGGCCAGGACCCTGGCGTTCGGGCACTCACCCGGAGGTAGGAGTACATGCAGATGGACATCCAGTTAGTCAGCAGCTTCTCCACCATGGTCTCCGTCCTGTGGGGTGCAGGGATTCAGTGGGGTTCGCTGTGAGACGCCCCCAGACCCTGCTCACCCCACGGGCACTTCCCTGCCCCTCCCCTGGGTTTCTGCCCCCCCATCTCTCCATTCCCCTCCCCCAGTGCAGCCCCATCTACCTCCCACCCAATCCTCCCCCTGGACACCGGCGGACGGGTTCCAATGGCAATGACTCAACCCCCCCCACCCCCCCTATTTCCCTCCCGTGCCAGGGTGTCAGGAGAAGGGGCCGGGCTGGACCCGGCGCCCCCCAGGGGTTCTTTGGGTGCCCCCCGTCTCGTCAGCAGCTCCCTGGGCTGGTGCGGGTCACACCATGGCTGGTTCTCCCATCAGCAGGGAATAGCCGTGTTCCCAGGCCGGGCGATCGGGGAGCTCTGCCCGTGGGGCCGGGCGATCGGGGGGCTCTGCCCGCGGGGCCCGGCGATCGGGGGGCTCTGGTATTTTCCCCGCTAGCCAGGGGCACTCCCCCTGCCCCCCTTTGCTGAGCAGGCCCTGGGGATGCCCCCCGGCAGGGGCGAGGGGTGTGGGGCTGACCTGCGCAGCATGAGCTTGGGGTTGCGGGCCATGTGGCGCTGCGCCAGCTCGCCCAGCAGGCTCTGCATGACGTCGGTCAGGTACTCCAGCCGCCCGTGCAGCGCCAGCGCCAGCAGCGAGGCCGCCTGGCACCGGTCCTGCCGAGAGAACGACGCCTGCCCCTCCAGCGTGTGGATCAGCTGTGGGGCCGAGAGGGGGGCTCAGTACGGGGGGGGCGTGGTGCCCCCCCAAGCGCCCCGTCGCTCCCTCCCCGGGCAGCGTTGTGCCGTCCCCCCACCCGCCGGGTCCCCCATAGCCCTGCCCCCTGTACCCCATAGCCCCTGTACCCCCATAGCCCTGCCCCGGTAGGCCAATAACCCTCTACCCCTGTACCCCATAGCCCCTGTACCCCCCTAGCCCTGCCCGTCCCCCATAATCTCTGTACCCCATAGCCCCCGCCCCCATACCCCCCGTCTGCCCCCGTCCCCCATAATCCCTGTACCCCCATAGCCCCCTGCCCATCCCCCATAATCCCTGTACCCCCATAGCCCTGCCCCTGTACACCAATAACCCCCTGCCCCATACCCCCTGTACCCCCATAGCCCCCTGCCCCTGTACCCCCATAATACCTGTACCCCCATACTCCCGGTACCCCATAGCCTCCTGCCCCATCGCCCCTGTACCCCCATAGCCCTGCACCCTGTATGCCAATATCCCTCTATCCTGGTACTCCCTGTACCCCATAGCCCCCTGCTCCCATAACCTGTCCCCCCATAGCCCTGCCCCTTGCACCCCCATACTCCCTGTACCCCCCTAGCCCCCTGTATCCCCATAGCCCCTGTACCCCATAGCCCCCTGCCCCCATACCCTGGACCTCCATAGCCCTGCTCCATGTACCCCATAGACTCTGTACACCCTACTCCCGTATCCAGGACCCCCATAGCCCCCTGCCCCATGTACCCCATACACCAACGCCCCTGTAACCCAATAATCTCCACCCCACGTACCCCCATAACCCCCTGGCCCCACTCTCACCACTATGGGGAGGCCTTGCTCCAGCCCCCCAAACTCTCTGCCCTCCCAGCCTACCTGCCCCCGCTCTCACCGTCAGCAGGAAGGCCTTGCTGTTGAGCAGGCTGGAGAGCTGGGCCAGGCCCTGCTCCACGGTGGCCCTGCGCCCCTCGGGCAGCTCGAACCCCCGCCGTGCCGGCGCCCCCCCCTGGCCGGGGAAGAAAACGCGCTGGGCGTAGGTGCCGTAGTCCAGGAAGGGGATCCCTGAGCCCTCCAGCTCCCCGCTCAGGTCCGTCATCTCCGTCATCAGGTCTGCAGGGTGGCGAGGAGAGGGGTCACCTCATGGCCCCCACTGACCGCTACCCCAGATAGTCTTCCACCCGGGCCCCCCGGCCATGTCCCCTGGGGACTATTTCCCCTCCCAGATAGCCATCCACCCGGGCCCCCCCGCCATGTCCTC